GGTGAAAGAACGGACCAAATAAAATTTGCATATGACTTTTCCAACAGAAGCCTGACATTTGATCACTTCTACGGCTCATTTGTGTTTTATGGTCGGATCACCCTCTAGAAGACTCTAGTTGCTAATTAACAAACAGTGAATAGTAGGGAACAGATGAGATTTTAAAAGGACATATTCTTTATGTTGGCATATGTAATATTGCATTTTATATAAATATAAATCTAAGAATCTTTTGTAGTTTTTTCCTTCATGTGAAACAAAGGGTCATTTTAGTCATGTTCAACAAGTCTTTATTTTTGAAGCATCTTTTACCTTATTTCAACTCTTCAACGCATTCTCAATAATATTTTGAAACAAAAGTGATTAAAATGCCCAAACAAATAAAATAAGCAGATCTGTTGGCTTCTCCTATGTTCCTAGCTCAGAAAGCCAAGGTAGGAAGGCACCAGTCCAGTGCTCTAGACTGGTTTGATTCTCTGGTTGTGCTTAAGGTTTAAGAGTTGGGAGATTATATTGAATCTTACGCTCTGAATTTCCAACTTCATGGAAGCATACCCATAACGATCACAGGCAAAGCTCCACTAGAGAACTATGTGCCCCCCAATCCCACCCTCCCTTTTTTCATTACAATTACCATAGGAAAGGGAGCTCTGGTAAAAGAAATGGGAGAGAAGAAGAAATGAGAAGAAATGAGAGGGTGGATAAAACCCTACTGTCTGTTTCAAACAGAAAGCCTGACAGAAAAGGCACCCAGGGACAAGAGTAAAACATTCCTTAGAAGAGCCAGGTGCATTGGCACAGGCCTGTCATCCCAGCGGCTCAGGAGGCTGAGGCAGGAGGATAAAGAGTTCAAAGCCAGCCTCAGAAAAAGCAAGGCGCTAAGCAACTCAGTGAGACCCTGTCTCTAAATAAAATACAAAATAGGGCTGGGGATATGGCCCAGTGGTTGAGTGCCCCTGAGTTCAATCTCCTGTACCCACCCCCCCAAAAAATAAAAAGTGTTAGAGAATGAGGATGAATGAAAGGAAAAGGACTGGGAAGATTTAAAAAACAATCTTTTTTAAAAAATATGTCAACCCAAGCCAAGAATTTCTGTCCTATTAAAACTGTACCTACTGGAAGGGTGGTTAACACCATATCTCCCCTGATATCTAGTTGAAAAAAAATTATTAAAACACTTCCACATTTTACTCTTCCCCCATTTTTATGATGATCCCCACTTTTCAATACTATAAGGCACACCTACACAAATAATCATAATAGTTTAGGAAATCAAGCAGCCTTTTATTTTTTCCCTCCAAGGGAAAGGATATTCTCCAGGCGTTACATTTTGTAATCAGAAACTGAGCGGCAGGTCATGCCAGACTGCCTTCCTGAAATGTTACTTAGGCAACCTGAAAATCCAAGGCCATTCTCTTACTCTTAAAAAAAAAAAAATCATTTGCCAAAGCTGCAATAATTAGAACAAAATTAGATGTACTGTATATGTACTCCTTTAAAACTCATTTATTTTCCAACTTCAAGAGTTCTTCCTGGAAATAAACTATTAAAATGGAACCAAGTAAAAAGATTTTACATGCCCAGAAAGAGCTGCATTTTGTGCAAAGGAGATGAATGATAGGGTTATGGGCAAATGTACATCAGATTCTGTCCAGACTGGCAGGTGGGACTCCACATTTTTAATTTCTTGTTTCCCTCTTTACCCCATGTTCCCTGTTTTTCTTCACCAGCTTCACTTAGCTTCACCAACTTAATGGGACCTGGAAAGGCAGCACATATACGATGTCCCAAAAACACATTGTCTTAAGTAAACAATTGTTTTTGGCAATTCAGAAGTTTCATGGCAAAATTGCCTATTTTTTCTTCTGAAAATCAACTGTTTAGTCCAAAGTTAGAACTTCATGTGCATTTTTATGACTTGGCATATTCAAACATTACAATTGTATGTTTGAAAAAGGGAATTTAATCTTTTGTGCTCCCCCCACCCCCGACCTCCACCCTTTGGGTCTACACCTTTTTCTTGTTCGATTGTTTTCTCTTTTACAGTCCATTTTCGTATCTTGGTATATCTTTTCGGCATCTGTTTCTCCTCAATCATAATTTTTATTCAAGGATAATAACTCTCTGGTCTCTTTGGACATATTTTATTTTGCCCCCACCTATGAACTTCACAGGGTGTGTTGAAGGTTAACAGCTCCCTTTCTGGAATTTTCTTGGATCCCTTTTGGAGAGAAGTGCCAAGGAATATAAGCAGGGCTCAAATGTTTCTGGGCTCTGCCAAGTCCTTTGAGGAAGGCTCCACACATTATACCTTGTGCCAGCTCTCTCCTATTCTCACCGTGCCCGGCTTTGCCACAATAACTTGTATCTTTTGCTCATGAAAGAAAAGAACTTTTGGACTAAGACAAGCTTCAGAATACTTGTGTATCTAACAACACACTAACTTGTCCATTAGCAGATGGACAATCGTTTTCCACTTTCCTGAGTGTGCTACCCCTTTCTCTTTTCCATCCCCTATTGCATGGGGGGAGTCCAAAGTTTTCCAGTACTCGTTTTATAATGTTCCCATCAACTGGGGGGAATGCCCAGAGTGGCTCAAAGAGCTTTTCCTGCAACTCTTGAAATAGTAGAAAGGGTCAGGTGAATGGCAGAAGTGTTTCTAGAAGCCGTTGGTTAGAGGGAGCAGTTAGCAGTGCTTTGCTTGAAGGGCACAGGTCGTAGTGTCTTGTCACATGTTCTTTTTCTTATAATCTGTCTTGACATTTGTGTCAGGTGTAAAAGGCAGTAAATCCAACCCAAAGTTGGCTCAAGCTGAAAGAGATTTTATTGGCTTCTGTATCTGAACAGCTCAGAGGTGGAGTTGTCTTGTGCAGTTAAATATGGGACTCAAATGGTGCTATAAGGAGACTGGTCTCTCCTTACAGAACTATTGATTTTTCTCTCTCCATTGTGGGCTCATTCACAGGCAGTGGGATGGGTTCATCCCATCTGACCTCATGGATGGAACTCAGAGGAGGAGGAACATCCCTGGGAAATGAGGATGTGAGTTCCATAAAGAAGCAATAGAGATGCTGTGAAGCAAAACCGTCATGTGCCTCATACTTTGTCTTTTGAATGAGCTTTGATTGCAAATTGTGAGCACAGTGGGTAGGGAGAGTATAATTTTTTTCTTGGTCTGATAGCCCAGCATATGTAACTTTGAAGGTGTTTTAGACTAAAGTCAGATTTGCTATGCTATTGACTCATCTCAACAGCCTATGAAATCCTTTTTTCAGTTAGGATCTCACATTTCTAGGTTTGGGCCATAAGCCATTTTGAGATCATAGCAAAGGAGAATATGACCCATGGCCAAGATAGACAAAGTATTGAATTGCTAGATGATCCAGTGCTTCCTAAGGACACTGGAACAACCAGGCTGCTATTTAAACAACATATGCCACCCCTAAAGCCCATAGATTTCTAGCCTCCATCTCTCATACTTCCTGAAGTTCAGTTGGTCTTGACTCTCAGAATCAGCATGATGTGTAGAAGAGTAGGATCTCAGGTCAGGCTCTGTCCAGTGATTTCAATTTGGCTGTTGGCTAGAATTCCATCTGTCAAGAAAGTTTTGCAGTCAGCCATTTGATAGTAGGAGGGTTAGCCCAAGAAACTGGATTTCCTGTGTGTTGGGAAAGAGGAGCACCCCTGGAGATCTGAGATGCTCCGTGAAAATTAGGGGTTAGTTTGTGCTATTCCCGGTTAGTCTCCGATGAACCTAATGCACTTGGACATTTGAGGACTAAAAAATAAGTAAATAAATAAGGAAGAGTTTCTGTATTTTTTAAATTCTGAACTTAAGTAACTTCATGGCAAGAGAATCTAATCAACATTAAACTATTTACTTCCCTCCAAAGTAATTTCCTTTCTGTCAATGCACAGACATGCATTTCTACTTAAGTTATAATTAGTGTGAACATAGTCGTTTTTGCTTAAGAAAGGTTTTCTTTACCTTGGCATTCGGATTTGTTTTCATAGGCGAAGAAAACATTGAGAATGAGAAGGAACCTTTGCTGGAGGGTGGGGAGGATTATATGGGGTCATACTAATTCAGAGTTAAAGAAACCTTAAAGAACCCCACGCCTGGCCTCAACCCCATACCTATTAGGATTACCCTTCTGCACTAATAGACCCAGTGGGGTGGCTTTTCCATTCAGAGTTGTTGACCCAGCAGGACTCTCCCTTGTCAGGGAAGAATGAAATCCCAATCTCTGGTCCTTCTTGTTGCCCCTGCTTTCCTGGGCCATGATTTTCCTTGAGGGAAGAAAGCAGAAATTCTGCTGCTCTGGGACAATTCTCCCTTCTATTTCCCTTAAATGTCTTCTTTTTCCTAAGTGCAATCATACACTGGTGTTTTCTAATAATCTGTCAAAGCATAAAATTGCCAGTCCTTTTCCCTAAATTAAGAAAGTAGCCACATTTGGTTTAATTAAAAACAGTAACTATTTGTACAGCTGTCCCTGGGTTCACGGCTCATAAAAGGATTTAGCTTCAACCTTGCTGCCTGAGTCCTTTGGGAATCTGACACAAAACCATTGAGACTCCTCATCTGGGCAGTACCCAGATGAGGAGTACCTGGGATTTAGGAGCAGGATGCACCTGTGCGCCAGAATGCCGCTTCAGCCGCCAGATTGTCGGTGCCCACCGGCAGGGAGCAAAACTAGGGGCAGGACAGGACTTTGGGATACAAAAGTCCATCTTCTGTTTGGGAGTACGAGGGGCCTCGAAGGATATAGCAAGAAGTTCCTGAAAACGCCGCTAGGGTTGGAAGGAGGCGGGGCAGAACCAGGCACAGTCTTCCTTTTGCTGGGTCTTTTCACGTTTTGGCAAACTGGGTGGGTCTTTTGCACCCCCAGCCCGGGCATAAGTGGTCATTTGGCAGGCATCCTTCAAAGGAGAAGGGGGCGGGGTATCCCTGCTGATAGATGCACCAGCACAAAGCAGCACGTTTTCCCATCAAAGCCCTGGAGAGAAGGGAGAAGCAGAACTCAGCATTTGGCTGATATTCAAGTGCACACCGAGCAGCGCTCCAGGCAGCCTTGGGTCAGAACAAGCCCATTTGGATTTGAAGCGAATGCAGGGGCCAGAGCGGGTCACCAGCTGCCAGCGCGGGGGCGCGGCTGACCACACACGCTAAGACGCAGAGGCCCAGGAGCCGCGGTTTAGGCAATGTGACCCTGGCGACCCCAAACGCCCCCGCCTCCCTCGCTTCTGCTCCACCTGCACGCGGAGCGCGGAGCAGCCAACGGAGGCTATGGCCAGCCCTGCGCCCTTAGTGGCCTCCATCAGCCACCAAATGGTGGCTTTGCAGACTCTGCAGCTGCTACAGCAGGAGTGGGGCTGGGGGGATGGTCCAGGCGCCCCCGGGGGGCCGTGTGACCCGGACCACGTGCCCACAGCCCCAACCCGTCGCTCAGGCCCAGTGAGAGCCAGGCCGGGGCCGGGGCGCGAGGAGGGGGCAGGGGCTGCCAGGATCCGAGGGGCCCGGGCACGGGCGAGCTCCCCCGAGGTTGAGGGGCTGCGAGGCGCTGAGGGGGGCGCGGAGCTGCTGCCCTTCCCTCGGGATCGCGGGCCCTGCACCTTGGCCCGGATGGCGATGCGCAGCGCGCTGGCTCGCGTGGTGGACTCGACCTCGGAGCTGGTCAGCGTAGAACAGACGCTGCTGGGACCTCTCCAGCAAGAGCGGTCCTTCCCTATCCACCTGAAGGTGAGTAGGGGTCCCCGCAGTCCCCTCTGGCGCGCAGGGCTGGGCTGCGCAGCTGGGGGGGTCTCCTGGAGAGATCGCGGGCGATAAGCCCAGTTGCCACTGTGGTTCATTCCCCGGGGAACAGCCTGGAGGAGAGAGCTGACAGTTTGGGGACTGGGCAGCTGGGGCAGGACCCACCTGGGGTCCGGCTGACTGCGGACCGGGATACTGGGGTGGCCTTGCAGAAACCATCCTCCTGAGCTCCTTCCTGTCACATAAATCAGCTTCCTGCTGTAGCCTCAGGCCCTTTCCACAAGTGCAGCTTCTAGGGGTGGAGGACAGCCCCCCCCCCTCTCAACTAATAACCCTTCCTTCAGAGGCTTAAATACACTTAAGTCCCTCTGCTTTCTATATGATGAAATCATCTACATTTAAAGTTCCTTCACACTCATGAATCACAATTATTTTTGCATCAATCCAATTCCCCACAGAGCTCAGAGGCCTTACAGAGTCAACCTAAATTCTCATAAAGTGGATGAGAGCCGGGTGGGTTCCAGGTGTTGAAGCGTGAATACCAACAGGAACTCCTGCTAAGTCACCCAGCTCTTATTTGTAGGACACAGTTTCCTCTTCAGGTGCTGAGTTAGCCAGGGAACAGAGCTGAGGGGGATGGTGGGAACCAGGGGACTGGGTTCCAGTCCTGGCCTTGTCATTAACTAAYCTAATTGGTTTAAGGTCACAAATCTCTTGGGGCCCCCTGGCTTTCAAGTTTTGTCTAGGAGCATGGCTGTACTCATTCCCTTGGGAATTTAGAAAGGAAGTAGGGGAGGGGTTTTGAGGTTGGCTTGGAGCACTCCTCCAGAGTTGCTATTCTTGCTCTACAAGCCAAGATTTGGAAAAAGAAAATTACTATATATTAAGTTGCACTATAAGTTGTAAAAAATTTGTTTCAAATCACACACAATAAASCATATTACATACCAAATAAATATTATTTCTCTGTTCCAGGGTTTCTCAGTCTCATTTGGGGATGGGTAATTTTTGTTGGGACTTTCCTCTGTAATGTAGGATATTGAGCAGTATCCCTGACCTCTGCCCAGCAATGCACCCCCACCCAAAGTTGATAAAACCAAAATGTCTCCAGACTCTGCCAAACGAGGGTGAGGATGGGTCAGGAGGCCAAGATCACCTCCAGATCAGGAGCACTTCTACACTCACCTTAGAAAATTAAGCTGCATTTCACCAATGCTGTTCTGCCTTAGATGCACGTTTTTGGCTTTGGTTTTATTGGTACCAAGACATTTAAAAAATCCTGTTAATTAAAAGATGACACACCACTGATTCTAAGGTACACCCAAATTTCATGGATTTTGAAGATGTGAAAAAATGTGCATTATAGACCTGATGAAATATGAAGCRGCATGTGATGTTAGGAGCATATGCAGGGCATAGATAAGTTGGCAAGAGGGGAGACTCAATGATCAGTGTCTGCTAAAGGTGATCCTGGAAGGCTTCTTAAAGGAGGCAACCTTTTAAAAAAAAATGAGTGTTTGCTCTCTAGACATTAAAGGGGGGGAGGGGAACAGAAGGAGACCAGCATTGAAAGGGCCTGGGATACTGGGAAGATTGCAATTAGTTCAGTATGGTAGAAGGAAGAGAGAGAGAGAGTGGGGTKGGGGAGAGAGTGGGGGGAGGGAGGGAGAGAGAGAGAAGAAATGATGATGGAGAATTAAGTGGGGGCCAGTTGAAGGCCTGCATGACATGGATTTTCTTGCAAACCAAGGGTAGATACGTGACAGGAGCCTAGGTAAGTCACAGAAGGCTAGGTTTTAGTTTGAGTCAGGGCAGAGACAATTATCTGAGTTCCTGACCCAACTCAGTGGTGATGGAGTAAATCTTGCACCCTGTGCCCTGAAGCAGTTCCTAAACACCATTAGAGCTGAAACGATGCTGTTTTAACTTAATGTAGCAGTCATTGCTATCTGGTAATCCTTTTAGCCCTTTCTAACTGACTTTTGGTCCTAAATGCTGTCCACCCTCCTCAGGCTTTCTTCATTCAAACCTTGCCCTCTCACTTCTTTTCTGAGAAAATTGAAACCTTTGGATCCAGATCTCTTCCTCTGTCTTTAAACAATTGCGTATCCATTCATCTTTATTATTTTCTTCTAATAAATAAATGTTGCTTTCTCCCCCTCCCTATGTGAATACTTCTTCTTAATTATTGGAACAAGCCTTCCACATATCTTGCCCCCTGATTTCCACCCTGTTTATACAGCATTCCCTGCTCTGCCATCCCCAGGATGCCTGGAGTGAACACTATACATACTATGTTTTGTCCTATGTATACAGACATAAGATCAAGTTTAATTTATAACTTAGGCATAGTAAGAGATTAACAACTAATAATAAACTAGAACAATCATAACTATATTCTGTAATAAAAGCTCTATGAATATGGTCTTTTTTCTCAAAATACCTTTTTGTACTGTACTCACCTTCTTGAGATGATGTGAGGTGATATGCATGGTGCTTAGGTGAGGGGATGAGGGAGTGATTAGGCATTGTGACTGCATTAGGCTGCTGTCCAAGGGTTACTTGAACTCACGTCCTGCATATCATGCCAGCCAATCTGATAAACAAGATGGCTAATAAGTGACTAACGCTTGGGTAGTATGTATGGTGAGGGTCACTGGACAGAGGGGATGATTCACGTTCTGGGTGGAACAAAGTGGGACAATGCAATATTTCATCACACTACTGAGAACCATACACAATTTAAATTTTATGAATTATTTCTGGAATTTTCCATTTAATATTTTTGGAACCATGGTTGATTGCAGGTAATTGAAACTAAAGAAAATATAACCTTGGATAAGATGTGTGTGTGTGTGGTGGGGGAGTGGGGAACTACTGTACTTTCTATGACCTCCTTTCTGCCAATTCTTCTCAATCCAGAAACAAGCCCCAAGCTTCCCACTTATTCATCTCCTGAGTCACAGTCCTCTTTCCTGTCCCCTGGCCAACTTTGCAGACTTCTGGATGTGTTGCTGCCTCTTTCTAGAAGTGTCTAGAGTGCTTATTAGAAGTAGAGATCTTCCAACATTCCACTGCTGGAGCCTGCAGTTCACCTGCAGGGGAAYGATACATTTCAGAGCTTTCAGAAGGGAGAGAGCAGGGAGTAGCCAGCATCAATAAATTCTGCCTGGTTTGCAGTTTGGAGAAAAAAAAGGAGAATTTCCGTTTGGCTGGTGGATTAATGATTATGCACCACTTAGACTCAAGAAGATAGCAGTCTGTCTTTCCAAGGAGCTGGTTATGCAGACTTAGCTTCATTAATACTAATATTAATCCAAACAATTTGGAAGGGTGTTTTCTAAATTTTTAAATTAAGAACATGCAGATTGTTTTTCTACAACAGCAGAAGAATTRTGCTTATGGAAATAACACTTGTGTCTCATTTAGAAGTGTGTGGAAACCTTCCAGACATCAGGTTGGTGGTRTTGTCACAAAGGGTAAGAGGATGACCCAGTTGAACTGGAGTCCAAGGATCTGATGCCACCAGCATCCTTCAGAGGAGACAGCAAATCATAATGAGCTAGTTCCATGGTGCATTTCAAACCTACTCAGCTTCTTCCTGCCTTAGGCCCCTGGGCAATCACTTAGACTTTCTATTCCTCAATTTCTCATCTGTAAGGTGGAAATAGTTGTCTCTAACCTAAAGGATCACTGAGAAAATGCACATAAAGCCTAGGTCAGTGGTTTATCATAGTAAGTCCCCATATATTTAAGTGATTATCACCATTATTATTGCTATTGAATAGGTTGACACCTCWTAAATTCTAATTATGATTCTTTGARTTCCATTCTTGATATTCATGAATCTGATCCATGTACTCTTTGTTTTCTTTTCTGGGGTTGTTGATAAAATTAGAGTGAAATGACCAAAAGAGATTTCYAGGAAGTTTCCACTGTACAGAGGTCAGCCTTGGTCCCATGTCAATGACAACAATTTGGAAGGGTGTTTTCTAAATTTTTAAATTAAGAACATGCAGATTGTTTTTCTACAACAGAAGAGGAATTATGCTTTGTGTTTCATTGTTGAGTAAAACCACCCTTGGGTTAAGGAAGTGGAATTTTCAGGTGTGAAGGAAGAGATACTCACACCACAATAGTAACAAACTTTTTATAGCATTATACACTTTAATTAAAGAAACCAGCACTTAATATTCCCTTTGACTATTTAGAAATTATCATACACATGCAGAAAACCATGAAATGAGTTTCTTCATGGCAGAGAAAAATGCTTAGCTGTCCTGGGTCTTGTTCAGTTTGGTGAAGAAAATGGAGTTAACCAACTTGGCAAATACTTATTAAAGGTTAAAAATAAGCTCAGAGGAATTGAGAACTTTGCTTTAAACCCTGCAGCTAGGAAGTGATGAGTTTCATCTGATTGATCCTACTATATCACAGGCCGGCTCACAGGGGCATATGAACATCATGCTGAAATAATGTACATGAGAGTGTGCAGTAAACAGGGCCACATTTGTGACATTGCTCACACCATAACTGACACATTATAGGATAGATGTATTAGGTAGCTCAGCTGCTATAACAAAATACCACATACTGAGTGGCTTCAATGATAGATATTTATTTTCTCACTGTTCGGGAGGTTGGAAGTCCAAGATCAAAGCGTCACAAGATTGATTTCTAGTAAGGGCTTCTTTCCTGCTCACAGCTAGCCACCTCCTCACTGACCTCATGGCTTTTCTCATTGAGTGACTTTTGGTGTCTGTTCTTACAGGAAATTAAGGCCTTACCCTTATAACCTCTTTTCTTTTTTAATTACCACCCTAAAGGCTCTGTCTACSACTATGGGGGATTAGGGCTTCATTTTGGAAAGACACAATTCAGTCTATAATACTGGATGATCTGTATACTTCTTTCTGTGATGGCCACMTTATATGGTGACATAAAGTACCCCAGAAACTCAGGAAATCATTATCAAACTACTAATGAGA